CTTTTTTTTGAAATATAATCTTTAAATGCAGGTTCCCGGGTATAGTCCACGATACGTAAATAAATATAAACATTTTATTTTGATAAGATCGTCTTGCTTTTATAAATTTCAGTCTTTGACTTCTATATAGATTGAGAATGTTTTGAAAACCTTCTCGTCAGTTGCCATGCTCAAGTCTATCCACATCATTTTTCTCATTACTTGTTATTATGACTAAGAGGCACGGAAAATAAATGTCAAGACTATATTTTAATTATGAGCTTAATCAGATGTCCTGGTCATGCAATTTGGATTTGATCAAACCACTAAGTAGGGCCGGACATGAGGAGAGGCCTTCTCCTCAGGCTCAGCTTTTTAGGTGGGCAAATTTTCTTAATTTTTTTTAAAAATAAAACCCACTATGCCTAAGCCTTCAAAAGTTCAAAACTTCCAGAGTCCACACCAAAAGCTTGAGAGATCAATGGTAAAACTTAGATGGAAGAACGACGATGGAGGTCGGAGACAGAGCTGATGTGGTATACTCTCTTGAAATTTTTTTTCCTAGTTTGACAAGGAGTTGAAGTTTTGAACTGCGTTTTAGAAGCACTTATTTTGTTTTTTGAAAATTATAGAGAACCTGGATTTGCTAGTGCCATGGATAAAGCTAAACAAATGGCAAGTGAAATGGGTATTGAAGCTGTTTTCTGAGAGAAACGTTTCATTCAAAGAAAGATGCAGTTAGATGAAAAGGATAGGAAAGAGGTAACACGATCAGTGGAAGAATCTTTTAAAATTGATTATTTTCTCTTTATAATTGATCAAGTTCGATCTTCACTTCAAACTTGATTTGAACAATTTAAATATTATGAAAAGACATTTGAATTTTCGTTTGGGATAATTGCAATAAAAGCTCCACAACTTTAAAACACAAGCAGACTTTCCCCAAACCTTTGATTTGTTGCAGCCGTTGATAACCCAAGAATAAGTAACCAAGAGGGGGATGAATTGATTTTTGAAACTATTTCGACAATTAGTTTCAAAACTATTCAATACACAAGATATGAATTTAAAGTGTGATTAGAGAAGTAATTATGAAAATTCGATAACTTAATTCAAGTAT